TGGTGGTGTCGGGAAGGAGGGCTCTGCCACGCCAGGGGCTGGGGGATGCCGGGAAGGAGGGGGTGGGGATCTGAAAAGGGCATCCTGGGGTCAGGGGTCAGAGGCCTCGGGCCAGGGGCCAGGCCGGCAATCTAATATCAGGAACAGGAAGGGACTCAGGCCACAGTGTGGGCTCTTGGCCTAGGTTCAGGAGTCTGATGTCAGCAGCCTGCAGTCAGGGGTGGGAGAGGAACGTGGGCCCGAGGCCAAAGGTCTAAGGTCATGGGCCTGAAGGGAGAGTCTGGGCACAGAGGCCTGGCCCTCACCTCTGCGCCGAGCCCCGTCCTCCTCCGGCTTCCTTGTCACCGACACGACCTTCATGACAAGGCGGTTTCCACCCTGGCGGATCAGAGCCACCACCTGCTTGTGTCCGACCTTCACCACGTTCACCCCGTTCACCTGGGACAGACAGGCAGCTGGTGGGGTGCCCCAGGCACATGCCCGTCAGGGCGCAGGGGTCAGCACCACACCTGCCTCGCAGGTCCGGCCAGGCCTCACCTCGATGAGGAAGTCTCCAGTGCGGAGCCCGGCCCTCCAGGCCACGCCCTCCACATCCACGGACTCGAGGTACTGGAGAGCGGGAAAGGCTGGGGTGGGCGTGAACTCCTCAATGGGGGTCTCTGCTGCAGGGGGCAATGAGGAAGGCTTCACCTGCACGGTGTGGGTGAGGGTGGCTGCCACACGGCAGCCTCGACTCCGCACATAGGCAGAGTGAGCTGGGTGGGCACCAGGGCACCCGCACAGGAGGGGGTTCGTTCCTCTGCAAAACGCCCACTCGCCTCAACCACGAGGACCCATGTGAGGTCCCCCCAGCAAAGGCGGTAGGGAAACAATGAAGGCACAGTATCGGTTGCCTCATTTCGGGACATTTCAGACCAAGACAGTCGGGACAGAGGAGTGAGGAAGGGTGTGGCCAGAGAGAAGGGAGGGCAGGTGCCTGGGGAAGGAGAGCAGGGGTGGGGGCTGACAGCAGAGCGGAGGGGCAGAGACAGGAAGCAAAAAGAAGCTCCCAGCAGGGACAGCTCACTGTCTGGCACCCATGCACCTACCGCCATTACCTTTGGCCCCCCGGAGCACAAAGCCAAAGCCCTCATGGTCCCGTTTCTGCAGGATGGCCACCTTGTCATCGATGACATAGTCACTGCTGGGGGAGCATGGAGGGGTGAGACAAGCCCTGGAGGGAGCACGGCCAGCCAGACTGACCCCACAGGCCCCCTTGGCACCGTTCACCCTGGGTCACCCTGGGCTGGGCCAGTGCCCTCCCCCTTCCCCCCTGCCCTCTGCACACCATGGCCTCCTGGACCTGCTCTGGGCCCTTACATCCGATACCCACCCCGTGCCATCCACATGACCCAGGCAGCACCCCGTGCCATACCTGTGTGAGGTGAGGCTGTCATAGGAGCCCACGGTGTAGTGGCGGAAAAGCCGCTTTGTCCGGTCCTCCCGCGTTTCTGAAGAGAGGGACAGGACCTGATGGACAGCTGTGGCCTCCTGCTGGCCTGAGTCACCCTCCACTGTGCTGATCGCCAGGTTCTGTGCCTCACACTTGGCTGGGCGGGCCCACATGAAAGCGGGGTGCCCCAAATCCTGAAGTCTTTGGTCCAAACCCTAAGGCAGGAAGGCTGAGGGAGCCATGCAGGAAACCCTGGGCTGGGCCATGGCCACTAGGGGGCAGCAGCAGGGTGAGTTTCTGGCTCTGAGCAGCACGGGGACCACAAGGCCAAGTGGCCCCAATGCTGACAGCAGAGGGATGTGCTATGTGTGCGCGCGCGCACACACATACCTGCAGTCATGTGTAAGTGCTGTGTCGTAGACCAGTGTACCTATGTGTGTAACTGCTGTGTTGTATCTGTGTGCATGACCTGTAGCCATGTGCAAGTGCCGTGTGCTGTGCTTATGTGTGTGTATGCATGCATCTGTGCATGACCTGCAGCCGTGTGCAAGTGCTGTGCTACACTCACGAGCTTGGCATGGACGTGGCACGTGTCTTCGATGAATCCTCACAACAGCCCTGACACTCAGCCAGGGGGCCCCTCACTGCAGACCTGCCTCTGAGTGGTGCCAGGGCAGAGCCCCCTTCTCTCCTCACTGCAACCCAGAGCACTGCCAACCTGTCCCCTGGGCCTCAGGGGCCCTCATGACCATCATGGAGCTGGCCAGTCTGCCCGCTGCCCCTCATAGTCTCCTAAAGGCTCGGCCTATACCACCAGCCAAGACCACCCTGCTGCGTGCAGCTCCTCCAGAACCAGTTGGACCTCCTGGCCCAGCACCTCTGGCCTCGACCTCCAGGACCTCGAAGGGCAAGAGGCACACAGCGGCCCTGCCTCACACCCTGCAGTGCTTCCCTCTCATCTCCTTGTAGCATTTCTCGAGATTCATTTTTCCTTCAGTAAGTATTTTTATGCTCCTGCCCAGCAGTGTTCGATCTAGGTTCTGTGAACACAGTAGAGAATCAAAGTCTCTGCCCTCATGGAGTTTATCATCTATTTGGGGAGAGAGAACCAGCAGATAAATACATGTTGTATTTTTCTGTTCTTCTATGCATCATGACTTTCCTAGCAACCCAATAACATGGTAAGTGCAGCGATCACTTAAAAGAAAAGCGAGCAGGATAAAGGCAGGGAGAGTTAGCCAGTCTAGGGGTCACGTGAAGACCTCACCAGGAAGGGAGAGCAGAACAGACCTCAGGACCGGAACATAAGGGAGCAGCCTGTGGGTATGTGGGTGAGGGCTTCCCAGGGGCAGGGCAGTCAGGGCAAAGCCTACCCAGAGGGACAGCTTGGTGCCTGTGTGGCTGGAACAGGGGAGTGACAGGTAAGAAATGAGGGCAGGAGAGGGACTTGGATTTCTGTGGCCTGTCTCCCCATTAGCTGTGAGTTCAGTGAGAGTAACAAGCCCTGCTCACTGAGATCCCCTCTTCTGGCCCCCAGCACAGCATGGCACGGCGACCTCTGACAGACTGCAAGGGTAGGTGGCGGGCTACCGCCCATCCATGATGGACGGACAGAAGGCACGGTCAAAAGGGAGGTGGCCACATAATAATAATGGGTGGGCAGAGAGAAGGAAGGGGGCGGAAGGGTAGATCCCTCCATGAGAGAATGGCCAATGGGTGTGGGGGGACCACATGGGTTGCTGGGTCAACAGATAGCTCGGGTAAGCTGGGAGGGTGATGAGTGAGGAAATGGTGGGATGAGCGACAGATGGACAGTGGCTGGGTGGGGCATGGATGTCAGGGGAGAATAGGTGTGGGCTTCAGGCCCCACAAACCTGCCTGACTCTCAGGAAGCCAATGGTCTCCTGTTGGTTCCTTCCCCTCAGAGGGCCCCCCAGTTTCTGAGGGCCTGGTACCCTCCCTGGCGAGGCCCCTGGGAGAGTCCCACACTCTCGCTCTTGCCTCTGCCCAACCCCCCGCGCAGGTAAGCTCACAGTGCCTGCCTGCACAAGGGTCCCCTCAACATGCAGTTCACTCTCTCATTTTTAGACTTTTTCAAGCAAACAAACTATATTTATTATATAACACAAATTCATTTTCTGGTTTTATTAATCAAACATATAAAGCCTGCTGGCGCAAAGACTCCCAGCATAACCTTCACGTGATGATGAACCTTTCTGGGAAAAAAGGGAGGGACGAGGCAGGGTCACAGCACAGGTGCTGGTCAGGCTGACCTCTGTTTCCTGGCTCCTTTCGCTGCTCCTGCCTTAGAGGGCCCCTGGCCCCTCGCTGCTTAGAGCTTGGCACTGACCCCAGGCCAGCCTGGCCTGCACGCATTGGCCAGGACAGGGCCCCTTCCTTGCCTTTAAGTCCTTCTCTGTCCCCACTCCAGGCCCAGAATCAAATCTGCTTGTGGGACCTGGGTCTGTTGGAAGCTAGTTCCTTCACGGGCTGACCTCCGGCCTCTGGCAGGATTCAGCCCTGGTCCCAGGTGGGAGTCTCAAACCAGAGTTGCCACTTGGGCCTGTAGCTGGGTCAGAAGGAGGCCAATCCTGCTTCCATGTGTCTGCAGGCAGCATCGCAGGCCCCTCGCCATTGCCCACCGTGAAATGCTCAGTCCACCCAGGTCCTCTGATACTTACCCCATCATGCCCTATCCAGGAGCCTCATGGTAACCCAAAGGCCTCCAGCTCCTTCCCCAACGCCGGCTCCTGTGCACTGCCCCTCTCCACCTCCCTGCCCTGCCCTGCCCTGAACAAAACGTATGATCGACACGGCCTGCTGTCTCCCCCGCAGTGCTGCCCTCCCTCAAGCCCACAGCCACTCCTAGCCTCATGTCCCACTACAGCCCTGCCACCCTCATCCCACAGAGTGACTGTCCCACAATGAGACCCTACCCCTCAGGGCAGTGACCCCCAGAAATGGCCTAATGACAACAAGCCCCACCTCCCAAGGAGCTGGGACCAGCCAGTGACTCTCAGGTGTGAGGTGCTATTGGAGAGCCAGGGCCCACGCTGTCAGAGCAGACCAGATACCCCTCCCCCACCCCCACTGACCACCCAGAGGACTCGGCTCAACGACGCCTCCTCGGAGCTCTCAGACTTCTCCAGGCCAAGCCAGAGAGTTCCCACGGCCACACAGTCTCTAAGACAGCAAGACGCTGACATATTTGTAGTATCCAAGGAACACGTCAGCATCCCTCTGTGATCTGGGCTACCAGAACAGGGCCCAGCACAGAACCAGTGAACACCTGCCACTCTCCAATTCTGACTCCAGCACAACCCTTGTCAGCTTCACACAGGTCCAAATGCCCCGGATCACCAGTTCTCAAACCAGAACCTTCACCACTGCCTCCACGTACACGCTGCCCCTCCTCACAGGTGTGGAACCTCCCCCTCATCTGAAGCAGGGCCCAGACTTCTGAAATCATTCTCTGTCTGCACCCCACCTCACCCTCCTCCTTCAGGAGAGAACAAGGGGACCCAGTCCCTTTCACCCTCCAGTTCGCCAAGAGAGTTGTCAAGTGTGGTGGGAATGGCCAACTGAAGGGTAAAGGCACCTGCCTAGGAGTGGGTCCGTGGCCGAACTCCTTGCCTCCCTGGCATCCGCTTAGCCAGGACCAGATGAGGGGCCCAGATCAGATACGCTGAGAAACTTAACTCAAGGAAGAGGACCCAGTAACTCGGGCCAAGTCCTTCAGTGCACAGGGAGGGTCACGCAAGCCCTGATGCAAACACATGCTAGTGACCACTAGTGACCCCCGCTCAGGAAAGGCTCACTTGTCCCCCCAGCTATATGGGCCAGAAATAACCTGATAGGTCTGGGGGGCCTCTGAGGACCCCTGTGGGACACCCCTAGACACTCCTGGCCTGGGGACCCCAAAAGGATAGCTACCGTTTTCTACTAGTAACACCCCCGGATCCCAACAGCTACAGGGGTCCTTCTGAGAAAGCCCAGGTGGTCAGCAGGATTAGACTGAGGCACTCACCAGCCCCAGGCGTTGCGGCCTCCACAGACGGCCTTGCCTGCTGCCCACAGACCATCCCAGCCCCAGGGCACAGTGACAGCCCCCCCAGGCCCAACTGGCCTCATTTCCTCTTGGCTGGCCCAGGCCTCCCTGCTCTGCACACTTGGACAATCTGTCCACCTTGGAAAAACGCCTCCTTTCCCACACTGACCTCCTTCCTTGCCTGCCAGCCACACACGAATTATGCACTTCAAGCACCTGTGTTTCTGTGAGGGCCATGCAGAAGGGATAACCTCGGCCGCTGGGAGTCACGTGTGGGTTCACATAGACACAGGCTCGGTCATGCGTGTGTCCCTCCTGTGGGTATGTCACACGTGTCCCCCCTCTATGTGAAGTATCTGATGACACATGCGTGTCTGCAGGTACACGCGGTGTGTGTGTGCACGATGTCTGCACTGTGCACACAAGTGCGCAGACTTTGAGCATGTGTTTGAGCTGGCTTCTAGTCTTTTCTCTGTCAATATACACATGGATTTAGTGCCAAGAGGGACCAAAGGGAAGCTGGAAGGGGTGGCCCCCAGGGGCTGCCTGGGGGACGCGTGGTCACTCACCGTGCCGGGTGTCATACTGTCTCATCTGCACCTCCTCCACGCAGTCAGCCGGGAACCAGCCCGTGCGGCCTTTCACGGTCCCCTCCCAGAAACCGCCCTCCCCGATGCTGAGCACTAGAGAGACAGAGTCAGGCAGGCTGTCAGAGGGCAGCGCAGGCGGCCGGCGCCCACCTGCCCCAGCACCCAGGGTTCGAGCCTGCCCGCTCCCCTCACCCTCCCGTGCTTTCCTTGTCTTCCCACAGCCTCCCAGCTTTCTCCCCAGGAAGATTTCAAGATCCATGAGGAAAAGAGACACACGCATGGGCTTGGCACAGGACGGGCATGTGCAGACAGGGCGACAGGAAGGAGGCACACGCCGAAGAGGCAGGAGGCAGGGCAGGCCCTGCTGACCACACTCCCCCACCTCTTGACCCAGTCCGTGGCTGTCACCCACTGAGGGGTCACTGTCAAGAGCTTGGGCTCAGCCTAGCAGGGCAGCTGGGTAAGGCCACGAGGTAAGGGTGCTAACTGCCACAGTCGCCCCTGCCTCGGGCTCCCAGGACATAGGGCAACCCCAGCAGAGGCTCCCAGTGGAAGAGCTGTCCTGGCACTGGGGCCCCCAGAACAGAGGCAGTCCCAGCAGCAGATACCCCCACAGGTTGAGAGATGTCCCCACACAGCAAGGGTCCTCCATACCCTTAGTGTCTCCAAAGAGCAGCCAAGAAGTGACAAGGGAGCCCCATGACATGAGGGAGCTCTGCAGTGGGGTAGGGCACCTCAGGAGAGGACCCCCCAGCAACAGCAGCCCTACCATGATGGAGAGGGGGTCCTCTGTCCTGACGCCACAGGACTCATGGCAGGAGCCCCCCCCAAAGGCAGACACCGCTCAGGTCAGGGCCCTTCCCCATGATACCAGTGCAGAGGCACCCCATAATGACCCAGGGAAACCCCCTGGGCGGAGACCCCCACATGGCTCTCCGCGACTGCCAGGACCCAGGCCGTGCAACCCCAACCAGCCCGCCCCCAGCCCCACGCCTGCGCCCCTCACCCTTCACGGCCTCGCCGCGGTGCAGCGGGATCTCGCCCTCGCCCTGCGGGCTGTGCGCCTTCACGGCGATGAACTTGCGGCCGGGGACGGCGCTGTAAAGTTTCCGCTTCGGGCCCCGGGGCGGCGGTGCGGGGGGCGCGGG